GACAAAAACGATTATTATCCCTACACCAGCCCGGATATTCCCAACACTTATGCTTTTCCGAATCGTATAGTAAAATATCGAATAAATATTCAAAAACAGATGAATAAATTATCAAATCGGACATATAAATAATTTGAACTTTATAACCAAAGCAACTATGTGATTGCTGACATACACTGGTGAAAGTCATCAATTTCGGTCTTATTTGTATTGTAAATTACCCATGATTAAACAAAGGATATTACTTGCTTTCTCCATTTATTAGCACGATATTGTACTTATAAAATCACCTATCTTCCAACAAAGCATAATTTAACCAATTAGTAGTCCCTTGAAAATGTTGCCAATGTCATTAGCCAACCATATCTCAACAAAATACCTCTCTAATGTGTCCGGTAATATATGTTTGAGTTAAGTCTAACTTTTCCAAATACTAGTACAGTCTCTTGCAAAAAGTTTACTCAAATGTCTTGATGAAGAATTAGAGACCTCTACTGTTTTGCCAGTATGGTACGTCCTGATAGTCTAATGAAAAATCGAAGAGGCCTCTGCTATTTCACCAATGTAAGTTCCACTAAAGTATGGTTTATTCTGATACGTTTACAACACTGTTCCTCCAATGAAAAATAGAAGAGGCCTCTACTATTGCACCAATTTAAGTTCCAGTAAAGTATGGTGGTTCATTCTGATAGTCTAATGCAAAACGTTTACACTACTGTTCCAATGAAAAATTGAAGAGACTTCTACTGTGTCGCCAATGTATGTTCCAGTAAAGTATGGCTCAAGGTATAAGTTTTACACTTCTGTCTCAATGGAGAATTGAAGAGACCTCTACTATTTCATTATTGTATTTTGCACGTTCAATTAAAGTATAGGCTATCCTGATAGTCTCATGCAAAAAAGTTTACTGTTTTAATGGAGAATCGATAATTTGTTACTAATATGTCCCACTAAAGTATGCCCCTAATTTAGGGGTGCACAACCTTTTAGAGTGAAGGGCCACTTGCACAACAGGTTGACTAACGAAGGGCCGCACACATATTTAATCATGTTGATGGCAAATATCATAATTTTTATCTCAAAATTGTTGCTCTGAACAATAAATATTTTCATCAGTTAACTTAGTAACATATTTTCCTAAAATTTAATACTTTAATTATTAAAATTCATTCAATAAAAAACACTAATATTTTTTATTTTTGCCTTCATATTAATATATATATTTATATTTGAGGAGATACTATAAACTGTAACAAAAAAAAAGGCTATAATGCTCACAGAAAAAAGGTGTAAAATAAAATTGCATACATACTCATTTTAATGAGTAATATAATTTTGGACTAAATATTTTAAAGAAAATTTATAGGGTTTAAGCAAAAATTAAAACTTAACTATTATAGTACATATTAAGATTCAATATTTTGTGAAGAGAAATTAAAAAGATTTTACATTTTTACTTTTCAAAAAAGGAAAATTATTGTGTTCAGAAGCTCTCGCGGGACGCACATCAACAGTCGGCGGGCCGCAGGTTGGGCACCCCTACCCTAATTGAATTACCCCACCAGACCCCTAATTGAAATAGTTATACCTCGTTATCATAGCCACCGCCAAGGGTCCAGAGGAATGACTAGGGGAGTTCTTACTTGAGACAAACTGTACTTCGGTGCGATAGCAGGATTCGTCTAAGTTGGCCCGGATAGGAAAAACCCCACCCGGGTTTGTTCAGCTGCACCCACTTTAATTATTTTCTATCTATATGTCATTTTTAAAACTAAAAAGTAATTAATGCAAAAGAAAATAGATTTAATGAATTCCTTTAGAGCTATGGTTCTTTAATATTTTGCGTACAAGAGTATGCATAGTAAAACCTAATTTTATAATGACACAAAAAACTATTACATTATTTTAATCAAATTTTTTCAATATATAATACAATACACTAAACATATACACCACTAGAAATAGCAAATTGAATTTACAGTTAAAAATAGCAAACTAATTTATGTAAAAAGATTAATATTTCAACAGACTCTAAAATAATACATGGATAAAAACAGCAGAGATACAAAGAAAAGGAAAACTCAGAAAAGAAATTAATTTTTATGCAAGTAATGATACGCGTTTAGTGGTGCACAACCTTTTTCAGTCAAAGGCCATTTGCCCAGCCGGTTGACTAATGATGGGCCCTGTTGAGTCATGTTGGCGAATATGATCATTTTTATGCAAATATTAGTGTTCTAAGAAATAAATTTTTTAACAGTAAACTTAGTATTGTATTTGCAGAAAAGAAAATACTTTTAATTATTACAATTTATTCAAAGATGAAAAAAAAAAATGTTTTCCCAATATATTTTTTATTTTATCAATATATATATATATTGCGAAAAGAAAAATATACATTCTAACGGGAAAAAAAAACAAGAAAAAAATGTACTGCTCAAATAATGAAAGTGTTTAAAAATAGTACAGACGTGTTTTCATGACTAGTATAAAGAGTCAAATTAAAAATTTTAATTGAAAACAATTTATAGGGTTTAGAAAAACTAAAATTTGAAACAAAATCATTAGAGTACAAAATAAGATTCCATATTTATTTGGTATTAATCTTCAGACATTATTTCTATTTCTTGAATTTCTAAAGGCTTTATAAATCTTAAATAAGAAAAGTTTTATTTCCAAGAAATCCCCTATGCTACAAGAATTTTAAAGACAAATTACAAAGGGTGAACAGTTTAAAATATCATATTTTCCTCCACTTTTCTCGCTGAAATAAAATATCGGAATTCTAAATAGTATGAGCAAATGCATGTCGTTACCTGCTGAAAAAAAAAACAATGGAAAAATATCTTATATTTACAATGATATGTGAACAAATTAATTTTATCAAAAAGTAATTATTTAAATGAGTGGTCAATGAATCGTGTGTTATACTGACATCCTGGTTAAAATAACAGCATCGTCTAATTCAAGCGAAAAAACATTACAACAAAAAAAAATTGCTTTAATGTACAATGAAATCAGCAGGAATAAAACATGCCTATAAGTAATTATTTAAATGCATCATATAAAAATCGCATATCGTAAAAAAAATAAATCAGAATTTTTAAAAACAATGGGGAATGCATCCTAGAAACTGCCACTAAAATTACAGATTTTCAAAATTGCAGCAATAATTGCCTTTCAAAATTATTTAGATTTCCGATGAAATAGGTATAAATAAAACATGTCAAAAAGTAATAAATTAAATGCGCGACTTGAGTCTAATAGATGAAGCGGGGTTTTAATAACCACATGGAAATTGTAAGTTATAAATGCTAAAAAAGAATCTGAGCTTCACTCGAATTTATGATGAAATCAGCAACAATAAAGAAGGTCAATAAGCGTTTACTTAAATTTCAAATTTGCGCTTCATAATATGGTATTAAAAACATAAAGTTTTTTTTTCCAAACCATGCGGAATTTCGTAACAATAATTGCTGGAAAAGCGATTGAAAAACAACGCAGATTTATGATAGAATCTGCACAAATTGAATGCACCAGAGAGCAATAACATAAAAGTGCAATTGTAAATTAGAAACTTTCTTTACTTAAAAAAAAAAATTGTGTTTAGAAGCTCGCACAGGCTGCCCATCAACAGTCGATGGGCCACAGGTTGTGCACCCCTAAATTAATAAAAAATGCATTCATCACAATAATATATATATAAATGCAAAAAACCCCAAATCCAAGGAAGATTTCCATTCAATTGAAAATTCTGCATAAAACTAAAGAAAAAATCTTAAAATAATTATTTTAAAGAGTAGATATTAAAAACTTTCTTGGGCACTATATTTAATTTAATTAGTTTAATATTAAACTATTCCTATAGTAGTTGTTAAGAAATTGAAAACTGTACAACTCATTTTTAGTTCCTTTCTTTTCATTCAGTTATTTCCAATACTTTTTTCCAGCTTCCAGCAAGAAATGAGCAACCCTGCTATCCATTTTGGTAATAATTGGAAATGTTCTTAGACATGCTTGAAAAGCGTAAAGGTGTCCTGTTATACTAAAATTCAGATTATTAAAATAGTAAAAATATAAATAAAAACAAAAATTTTAATAACACAGGACTGAAATATGGCCCTCATAACGACTGCACCAGGAAGAAATTGTATTTTAAACTTTGCCACAACAATACACAATTACCATTCAGGGTGCGTAGCCAAATTAAGCACCTTTTAAGCACTCAAAAAATATTTTTAAGCACTCTAAAAAAATATCATAATTAGGCAAGGTTGGAGAGTTATGACAATTTACGGTTTTATCTTGTTTTAACAGTCATGCCGGAAAAAAAAATAAATTCTTTTGGCATTGTTTTTGACAATTGTCAAAAATCACGAAATGTTAAATAATGTAAAACAAATGACGTTTCATACTCTACGGACTGGCAATACGCTGAAGTAGATTGATTGGGTTTGAATAATTGTGAAAACGTTGAATGGAACGTCTTTTCATAGGAAAAATCAACATGGTAAAAGAAAAATCCCATTTTGAAAAAAAGAAAATTAAGCACTTTTTAAAAACACCCAATAAAAAAAGCACCTTCAAGGGCTTTTAAAAACGAAAATTGAAAATAAGCACTTTTTAAAAACGCTACGCACCCTGCCATTGTCCATTTCTAAACAAGGAAAAGTGTAAAAGGAAGTTACCAAAAAAGAAAAGGAAAAAAAATTACAATATTTATTTTTGAAAGATGACTAAAAAACTAAACTTTCAAGTAACTGCACAGTCTCTAGTAATCCGAATAATCGGTATTTGGTAGTCAAACAAAGAAGTTGTTGATTTGTTTTCCTCAATAATTAGAAATTTTAGTCTCCAATGGTATTTCAGACAAAAAAAAAAGAAAAAAAAAAAAGAAATCAACATTGGTTTAAAATTAATTATACTATGTTGAGAAAACAAGGCTAAAAATAAAATTTACATTTAAAAATTTAAAATAAATTTTAAAAAAATTTAAAATTCATTAAAAAAAAAACTTTTTTTTTAAAATTCAAATGAGAATTTTTGAAAACTATTGTAAATTTAAATCTCATTTTTGTCTCCCTGGAAGATTGAACACATTCATGTGACTGAATGTTTAATATTTCAAAAACTGCATACATAAATGGCATAGAAGGGGAATCTTTCAGACATCTGATAAAAATGACAGCAAAAGTATTAATCGTGATCCTCCATAGCGTTTGGAAACTGATAATCAAACATGGGAGTTTTGAAAGTTGAGAAGCTGAGAACGGCATCGCTTTTCCCTTTGTTGAAAATACTGTAAATATTTCCAGCAGGCACGGCAATAAAGTCAAGTTCCTTCAGAGTGAAATTTGATTGATGGATAGTCATTTTTAAGTTATTCCCTTTGATAACATTAAAGGCAATGTTGTGCTCAGGCGAGTGCTGCTTACTTTTTTCCTTTCCACAACGGATTTCAATGAAACCAAACGAGATCAAATCACTAGAAAAACACTTTGCAATAGTATACGATGCAGTCTTCTTTTCCTTCAATGGAGGAACTGACCATAAGAGAGTATTATGTGGTCGGTGTAAATAAACAAATTTTTCATCACTCGTCGTCGGGTCAAAGACTTCTATTTTAGTTAATTCACTTCTGACTTGTTTCAAATTTAACGAATTTTCCGAGATTTTGGGTTTTCTCGACTTCATTTTCTTTCTTCTCTCTTCATATTTTTCACAGTTTCTTCTAATTCTTTTCACATCATCAATAATTGGCTCATTTCCTTCATCAACATCAACGCTGACAATGTTAAAGTTTTCGTAAGTAATACGCAAGCGCTGGCTGCGCCAACGCTCTAATGGAGGAAACCTCTTGCGTTTGGAACGTCGAAGTTGGGTGACACTAGATTCTACTTCAACTTTCTGCTGCTGCTCAGAATTTTTTTTTCGCTTTTTACATCTTTCAGAGACATCAATCTCATTATTATTATCCTGGTTGAATTCATTTTCTTCATGAGTTGATGTGCTAGAGAGTTGTGATGCTGACGGGACACACGGAGATGCTGTCTTGTTCTGTACAGATTTGTGGCTGATGTTTGAAATTTTACGACGGGAGGTACAATTTGGTACCGAAGACCTATTATTTGGAGTTATTATTATAGTATTATTCTTGTCCTGGTTGATTTCATTTTCTTCATGGGTTGATGGGCTAGAGAGGTGCGATTTTGATGGGACACACGGAGATGCAGTCTTGTTCCGTACAGATTTGTGGCTGATGTTTGAAATTTTACCACGTGGGGTATAATTTGGTAACAAAGACCCATTATTTGAAGTTATTATAGTATTATTCTTGTCCTGGTTGATTTCATTTTCTTCTTGAGTTGATGTGCTAGAGAGGTGCGATGTTGACAGGACACACGGAGGTGCAGTCTCGTTATGTACAGATTCATGGCTGATGTTTGAAATTTTACCACGTGAGGTATAATTTGGGACCGAAGACCTATTATTTGAAGTTATTATTATAGTATTATTCTTGTCCTGGTTGATTTCATTTTCTTCACGGGTTGATGCGCAAGAGAGGTGTGATGTTGAAGAGACACACGGAGATGCAGTCTTGTTCCGTACAGATTCGTGGATGATGTTTGAAGTTTTACCACGTGAGGTATAATTTGGTACCGAAGACTTATTATTTGGAGTTATTATCATGGTATTATTCTTGTCCTGGTTAATTTCATTTTCTTCATGGGTTGAAGTGCCAGAGAGGTGTGATGTTGAAGAGGCACTTGGAGATGCAGTCTTGTTCCATACAGATTCGCGGCTGATATTTGAAATTTTACCACGCGAGTTATAATTTGGTACCGAAGACCTATTATTTGGAGTTATTATTATAGTATTATTCTTGTCCTGGTTGATTTCATTCTCTTCATGGGTTGATGTGCTAGAAAGGTGTGATGCTGAAGAGGCACATGGAGATGCAGTCGTGTCCCTTACAGATTCGCGGCTGATATTTGAAATTTTACCACGAGAAGTATAATTTGGTACCGAAGACCTATTATTTAGAGTTATTATTATAGTATTATTCTTGTCCTGGTTGATTTCATTTTCTTCATGGGTTGATGCGCTAGAGAGGGGTGATTTTGATGGGACACACGGAGATGCAGGCTTGTTCCGTACAGATTTGCGGCTGGTGTTTGAAATTTTACCACGTGGGGTATAGTTTGGTACCGAAGACCTATTATTTGAAGCTTTACTAGCACGCATGGTGGTCAATGCACTACTATCTGTCCAATAATTATCAAAATTTTCAATTCCATTAATAATTTGTATTTCTTTTCCAGCTAATATATCTGCTCCAGTTCGCCGCCCTTTGGCCAAGAGCTGTTTTTTCTCTATGATTTGCTTTGGAACAACCGATAAGTGCACTTCATCTTCATTAGAATCCTTTTTTAAGGTAGGTGTTCTAGCACAACTTATTCTTGCAGGCAATTCCCGTCTAGGACTTGGATTGATGTTCTTTATAAATGAACTCATTCGAGGTGCATTTGAGAGGACAGGTGAAGAACACAGAGGTGATGGATTGCTTGCATCAGTATCATCACCTGAAGAGGTCCAATAATCATCAAAACGTTCCATTCCATCCTTACTTTCTCTTATTCTTTTGCCAGCTCTTACATCATAGCCAGTCCTTCGACCTACAGTACTGAAACGCTTTTTTCGATTTCTTCCGTTCATTGTAAATATCTTGAGCTTCATCCAGCCTTTGTTTATACAGACCTAGAATTAAAAAAAAAAAAAAAATGATGAAAAAAAATAGCATTTTGTTTATTTTAATGAATTTGGGTTTTTCCATGTTTTTTTCTTTTTAATTTTTTTAAAAATTGCAACATTCCTTGCATTTTAGAGTTGAAAAATTCCCTGACTCATGGGATTATTTTCAGAAGTTATTTTTTCCTCAGAAATCTGCTTAACAATGGTCTTTAAAATCAATGAATAGAAAAGTTATTTTTGTGAAAAGATTTAGTTTAGTTACAAATATTAATAAATAAAATAAAGTTATTAGTAACAGATGTTTTGAACGATAACATGGTTACTCAGAAATATTGTTAAGTTTCAAAAAAACAAACAAACTGTTTATTCCCAAAATTAACAACAGTACATCGAATTAAATGAGAAAACTTCTCAAAAATTAAATTATTGTTGCTTCATAACATTTGGTACAAAAAGAATTTTATTATTTTTTTTAATAGTGCAGGCATAAAAAAGAAGAAGCTTTTTGTTTTTAACTACTTGGTTTAGTGTTCATTCTTGACCTTATAAAGGACAGGACGCTAGAAGCTGAAAAGGGCACAATTTACCCTAAAAAAGGGTAACTATCACAAAATGGGCATTGTTCACTAATATTTGCATAACTCTTCAGACATCCAAAATATACCAAGTTTTTAATTTTATCATTAATAAAATCTTACTTTCTTTAAAGATAAAATTTAAATTAAAAGTAATTTCTTAGTTAAATTTGCACGCTCTATAAATTAGTTTTAAAATTTTAGTAATTCTATAATTTTTAAAATGTTGCAGGTAATATCAACATGTTAAACATATCGGGATTTTAAAAACGATTTCAAAAGGAAATAAAATATAAATAATCAAAATAAAAACAGCAAAAGTGATAGAAAACTAATGTGGACTTACAATAGAATGGTCACGAATCAAGCACAAGAAAAAGTGATTACTTAAATATGAAATTCGTTAACCATGACACCGTACAAATTACATCGGAATTATAATAATAATAATAAAAAAAACAACAACAAGGAAATAGCCAAGAAGCAACCAAGAGTTGACCCCTGTGGCAGAATTCTTTTGGGTTCTCTGCGACAAACCTCTCTAGCACTAATATCTTTCTGCAAGATGCTTCACAAATATACATGTTACTAACTAAATTTAAAGTAAGAAAAAAAAACCCTATTTGAATAAAATAAAATTGTATTTAATTTTTAAATGAATATGTAATATATTTTTATTCTAATATCACGGGAGAGATTCTCACATTTTACTAAACAAGAAAACACACTATTTATTTCCTTTTTCGTATTTTGTAAAACGGCATATAAAAAAAAAAGAAAATCATGTAACCCGTAGCAGTGACTACCGGAAAAAAAAGATGGCCGGCGAAATCAAGCGAATTAAATATACTGCACGGAACAACGAGAGTATCGGCGCAAAACGACCGTGTCACATAATGATTTCTTGAATCTGCGATTCGAATTTCGCATGCTGTAATAATACTGGTATATTTCAAAAAGTCACGAGAATATAAATAACAACTGAGCAATGAAAAACATCGGGATTTTGAAAAAAAAAAAAAATCCGTAGCAATGACTGTCTTAAAGAACGATAGAAATACTTCAGGGACTAACAAGAATATCGGCGCAAAATGAAGGCGTCAAGAATGATTTCTGGAGGGGAAAAAAAAATCCTTCAATATTTCTGCAGAAAAAAAATTTTTTTTTTTTTCACTTCATTATTATGTATTTTTTATTCTTCTCAAATAAGAATAGAAAAATGAAGAACATTTCTTTCCCCTCCGATGCGTTAAAAAGGCATCTTTTAATTATAATTTTAGAGATAAAAAATTTCAGCAGAAAATCAAAATTCTTTACTACTTCTGAAAAACAAAATTCTTTACTTCCCAAAAGAAAATTTGTTCGAATGTAATATCCTGCGACAATGTTGCTGCGATTCTGTCACGAGGAATCTGAGGAAGAAAAAAAACTACCCATAAGCGATGCGGATTTACGGTAGAATCGATCTAGAGTGAGAAAGTGACGACTTAAATCGAGACTGGCTTGTCCAGGGTGTGTAGCCAAATTACTCGACCAAAAATAAGCACCTTTTCAAGCACACTCAAAAAATATTTTTAAGCACTTTAAAAAATATCATAATTAGGCAGGGTTGGAAAGTTTTTGACAATCGACAGTTTTATCTTGTTTTAATCGTCATGTAAAAAAAAAAAAAAAAAACTTTTGGCATTGTTTTTGACAATTATCGAAAATCATGAAATTTTGAATCATAAAAACGAATGGCATTTTCATGCGATACGGAGAGACTATACGTCGGAATAGATTTGGATTGAATACATTATGAAAACGTTGAATAAAACAAGTGAACTGTGTCTTTTTGCATAATTTGAAGCGAAAATCAACATAGTCTTAACTATGCTCCAATTAAAAAATAGGCACCTAAATAAAAGTCTAATTCAGAGGTGATCGTGAGCCCAAGTTTAAGTTCCGGAAAATTTCTCGTTTAAATTTTTGGCTTTTTGGACATAAATGATTGTATAAGAGTTTGCTTTCTTCTATTAACAATTTAGTTTTTTCTTGTTCACTTGTTTCATACCTACTCTTTTTCTTTTTGTCGTAATTACAGACTATCTCCAATCATGCCTTGTGCAAGTCTAATTCCTTGCATATCTTTAGACTTAAGGGCTTCTTTAAGTCTTTCATTGGGGTGAAATAACAAGGGAGGGGTTAGCATGATGACATCACTGAGCACATGATAGACAGCACTACGTATGTGTTAGCGAGGAGACTGAAAAGTAATGTTCATTTCTGCGAAAAAAAACTTCACTAAGAGAAAAAGAGTCTCATAATAGTCACTTATTCCTGAAAATAGTTGCTTTTTTATAGCCTTTTCAGGCAAAAAAAGTAGCCATATTCGCCTAAGGCCGAAAATAGTAGCATTTTAGTAGTCTGTGGCAATCCTGCATACTCAAATGCACAATTTGTTACGAAATATAACGGGATATTTATAACCCATGTGAAAATCAATATCAACAACTGCCGGCAATACAACCGAAACATTACACATATTCACGATAGAATCAGCTTAAATTGAGTGCCTCCAAAAGTGATTATCTAAATGCATGATTCAAATATTACGTAAATTTTGCATCGATAGGCAATTTTACGAAGATTACTTTGCAAATTTCTGCAGAAAGTAAAATTTTGACTTTTCAAAAGAAAAATCTTTCTGCGTAAAATCCGTAAAGCTCTGCGACAATGTCACCGTTATTCTGCAACGAGGCACATCAAATAGTGACAGTTCAAATTTTAAACATAACAATATTTGAAAAACCATGTATAAGGTCCGAATAAATTATTAGTAACCACCATTAAACCCAGCGAAATTGTGATAGGATCTTCACGAATTGAGTGTAAATAGTGATAACACAAACTCAAAATAGGCCGTTCCACCCCCTTAATCGCTTAGGGAACAAGGGGTAGTTCATTCAAAAGGCAAACGGGGCGCTTAGGATCAACTCCGTTAGTTAATGAACTCTGTTACCTTAAACTGCTATTTTTTCAGATCACATAATCATAGACATTTCATTCCTTTCTTGTAAGAAGCAATATTTCTGATCATCACATCAAATCCTATAAACCAAATATGAATAGAAAATAAATAAATACAATAAACTTACAGTAAGATATTTAATTAATATCTGAATTGGAAAGTGAAAAACATTCCAAAATTACACAAAGTTATTACATTCCAAAATTTTCTTTAAGTATGAACTTATTTTACACCACATTTGTTTTCAAAACATTAAATTAAATTATATAAATATGAACGTTTATTATAAGTTTTGCAGATTATTTTTTAGTTACTATGCACAAAACCAAATGTAAAGAACAGTATTTCCAATTCTGCAGTTGAGTTATATAAAACTATTTCAAACAAACATTTTCATCTACATCTTTTAGTACCACCAGGAATTTATTAAAATTAGAGATGCAAAATTCTCTCTAATATCCTTCAAGGTAAATATTCTCATCAATTTTGGAAGTTTTATCCTAGAAGTTACTTATAATGAAGACGTATCTTAAATATTTTATATAATTTAAAAATAAATATTTATAGATAATATGTAGAAAATAAAACTAAATAAATGCCATAGAATAATTTAATAAAGAGTAAATTAAAATAACAAAATTTTTTAATTAACATATTTTATGGCACTTTAAATGTATATTTTAATGGCATATATGGCAGTTATTATTATAGATTTTAACAAAGTTTTTTAAAAAGATTTTGATGTATCTTGTACAATATGGGGAATTTGAGCCAGGATGGTTCAGGGGATAGAGTGTTCGCCTTTCAATGAGGTGAACCGGGTTTAAACCTCAGCCATGTCTGGTCGATACAAATTCCGTATCCGGCTTGCACGTACCACTGGGCTGACGTAAAATATCCTCAGTGGTAGACAAATTATAGGTTATAAGCAGGGTTGGCAAGGTTTAGGACCAGGGTTGGCAAGATTTTGCCGCAGGTGGAAAAAACCATGGTAAATACCGGTAAAAACCGTCCTGGCAAAAACAGGTTTTTGCCAAGCAAAGTGGCAAAAAGTGGCAAAAACCTATATTTTCCAAGATGAGAGGACAAAAACACATTTTTGATACNTTTTTAAAAGTATAATGCTTTATTAATATTGTTTGACTCTTCAATTTAAACAAAGGAAGATTAATCAGTAATCAAGTTCAATTGGTCCTCTCATTCAATAGTAGTACATAACTGAAGTTTGGCCTTGCCATACAGGTTAAAATATTGGGGACTAAGTGCTTGGTTCGTCATAAACACGTTTATTTATCTATAGTACTATTTAGGAAAACTTTTATTTCATTCATGTTCAATTCTTTTAGCATAGTGGTGATACATCACCAGTGTCAGTAACTGAAACTGATGTTATGCCCTTCAAAACTGTAAATACATTTTTCAGTTATTTTGTATTTTCAATTTAAACTAATATATTATTCACATTTAAAAACAATTTTTTTTAAATAGATGTCTTTTTTATCATCCTGTAATGCAGAAATTATAAAATTTTTTTAAAAGAAATATTGTGAAAAATAAAAGGTTGATTTTGTAACAAATTTAGTGTTTTATTTTAAAGAAAAATTATTATTTTTTAATATTGCCATATTTATCCTTATGCAAAAATATTATTTATCAGTATTAAAAGCATATTTATATTTAAAGGATTAGGTATTCACTTTTGTTGTTCAATGAATTATGGAGCTTCAAAAATTATAAACCTTTTTCTATTATATTATATTGTTTTCTTTTAATAAGTTATAGTAAATTGTATAAAAAATATCAAATATTTATTGATACATGTAATTATTATGTGTACAACGGTTACACCTATAGAATTTTTACCTTTTACCAAAGTTCAAGGTTTTGGATACTTTAAGACAGTTTAGGACAGTTTTACCCAGTTTAAGACAGTAAAACCCACGTGTCCTGTCCAAAACCAGTTTAGGGCGTCCAAAACCCCAACTCTGGTTATAAGTTCCTGAGCCGCCAGTCTAACCGTGGGAAGTTCTTGTATTCCTCTCCATGTAATGTAGGGGTGCTCAACCTGCGGCCCGCCAACCCTCGATGTGCGGCCCGCGGCCGCAATCTGAACAAAATGAAAAAAAAATTAAATATTTGTTTTTGAAAAATAATAAAAAAAATTCTGTAATTTAAATTTACACTTTTAAGTTTTTGACGCACCCAATCTCAATCAATGTAGTTTTTCGATGGTTAACGCTACGGATTTCAGCATAGTTTTAAAAATCCCAATATTTTTAATACATCATTATTACGATTTACGAATTTTAATTACCACTTTTGACGCTTTTCGTATGTGCCGATTCCAATGACTTTTCGGTAGTTATTGCTACCCATTTTCAAGTAGTTTCTGAAATAGCGATTTTTGAAAGTTATGAAACGCTTTATTTGTGCAAACTTCATGGAAAATCTAAATGACTTTAGATCCTTTCTTCAACAGTTATTGCTGCACATTTCCGCCCGGTTTTTAAAACTTCGATATTTTAGCACGATATTATTACGAATCGCGAGTAAAGAATCGCTCATTTAGATAACCATTTTTTGACATGGCTTATTTGTAACGATTTTATCGCAAATC